TGTATTTTTAGTAGAGACGGGGTTTTACCATGTTGGCCAGGATGGTCTCGATCTCTTGACCTCGTGATCTGCCTGCCTCAGCCTCCCAAAGTGCTGGGATTACAGGTGTGAGCCACCATGCCTGGCCATTCTATTTCACTATTTCTATCATAAATGCCTGGGTATCTAAAATTTGTGAGGAAGTATACGGAATCACACATTCAGGGAAATTTATCCCTCAAAGGAACTATAATTCTATCTGGAAAGCGGAATTCAATTCTCTAACCTCCTTTATTGCATCTGAGGATATCTGCTTCCCATCACTCTGGAAATTGCTGGAAAGTTTCTCTTCTAATTACTTTTGACAGTCTCTTTGAGTAATATTGAGTTTCATTAACCACTAGTAGTTGTTTACAATAATTAATACCTTGGATGAAATGTTTTTAGAGAATTAGCATGACTTCCCTTTAGCCACTGTCATTACTACTGCAGATGACATAATAATCACAGCTCTGGAAGGAGATGAGGTCAGAAGTTCCCAAAGTTATATCCCAGAGTTTAGCTGCTCCTGACCATACACAGAGAGCACAGAGAGACTGTCACTCCTGAGCCACAGTCCTAACAGCAGAGGTCAGTTAGATGAGTATTCTTAGATTTCAGGTAAGAGGAAATGTTGGAAGAGATGCCAATTGGTCTCTCCGATGAAGAGAGTGTCATTTCCTGGAATTGCAGTTCTGATCAAGGCACTTCTTCTTGATCAGCCTTAGCTATAGCTTCCTATGTCTTCTAGCCAAAGTGCTGTCTGAATTTATCTACCTATTCTTGCTGATAAAAGTACTTTTATCATTTTAATCTGAAAAATAAACAGTATAACACACACATATCAAGATATTTGAATACTGTCATGCACGGCATAACGTTTCAGTCCACAATGAACCACATATGCAACAGTGGTCCCAAAATATTATAATGGAGCTGAAAACGCTTTTTGCCAAGTGACATCTTAATGATGCCAACCCCATGTAGGCCTAAGCTAATGTGCTTGTGTATTAGTTTTTGTTTTGTTTTGCTTTTGTTTCTGTTTTTGTTTTTGTTTTCGAGATGGAGTTTAACTCTGCTGCCCAGGCTGGAGTACAGTGGTGCAATCTCAGCTCACTGCAACCTCCGCCTCCTGGGTTCAAGCAATTTTCCTGCCTCAGCCTCCTGAGTAGCTAGGATTATAGGCACCTGCCACCATGCCTGGCTCATTTTTGTATTTTTAGTAGAGATGGGGTTTCACCATGTTGACCAGGCTGGTCTCGAACACCAGACCTCAGGTGATCAGCCCATCTTGGCCTCCCAAAGTGCTGGGATTACAGGTGTGAGCCACTGTGCCCAGCTTTGTGTCCTAGTTTTTAACAAACGTTTACAAACAAAAAGAAAACATAATTTTAAAAAAGCTTATCTATAAGGATATAAAAAAATATTTTTGTACAATCATACAATGTGTGTTTTAAGCTTACTGTTATTACAAAATAGAAAAAAGGTTTTTAAAAAGTTTATAAAGTAAAAACTTAAAGTAAGTTAAGGTTAATTTATCATTGAAGAAAAAAATTTTAAATGAGTGTAGCCTCAGTGTTCAGTTTACCATAGCATACAGTAATGTCCTCAGCCTTCACATTCACCCACCACTCACTGACTCACCCAGAGAATCTTCCAGTCCTGCAAGCTCCATTCATAATAGGTGCCCTATACAAGCGGTGCAATTTTTTTTCTTTTATACCATATTTATGCTGTACTTTTTGTTTTTTGTTTTCACTCTTATTGCCCAGACTGGAGTGCAATGGCATGATCTCGGCTCACTGCAACGTCTGTCTCCCGGGTTCAAGAGATTCTTCTGCCTCAGGCTCCTGGGTAGCTGGGATTACAGGTGCGCACTGCCACACCCGGCTGATTTTTGTATTTTTAGTAGAGATGGGGTTTCAACATCTTAGCCAGGCTGGTCTCAAGCTCCTGATCTCATGATCCGCCTGCCTTGGGCTCCCAAAGTGCTGGGATTACAGGTGTGAGCCACTGCACCTGGCCGGTGTCCTAATTTCAAACCTCAAGAGAAGATGCCTAGAACAGGAGTAACAACACAGAGTTTACTCCTTTACAGAGCTTACCTCTTCATCCAAAGGTGGAAATAATCACTAAACAAATGAATGAATACATTCCCAATAACATTTTTGGTGGAGATCACTGAAAGGGAGATCTATAAAGCAAGATAAGGAAAGCAAATAATGGAATAAAACATGTATTGAGTCAGGGAGAGTTTTATTGTTGAGGTTAGCTCAGCAGAGAGCACTTCTTACTTCCTAATGCGATGATCTATCCTGGAGAATCGTCCATGTGTGGTTAGGAACGTGTATTTTGCTACTGTTGGATGGAATATTCTATAAATGTCTGTTAGGTCCATTTGGTCTATGGTAGTTTCACCAAATCTCATGTCACATTGTAATCCCCAATGTTGGGGGTGGGGCCTGGTGGGAGGTGATTAGATCACAGGGCAGTTTCTCACGGCTTAACACTGTACCCCTTGGTATTGTTCTCCTGATATCAAGTTCTTGCAATATTGGTTGTTTAAAGGTGTGTAGCTTCTCCCCATTCTCTCTCTTCCTTCTGCTCCAGCCATGTGAGATGCCCCCTTCCCGCTTTGCCTTCTGCCATGATTGTAAGTTTCCTGAGGCCTCCCCAAAAGTAGAAGTCGGAACAGCCTATGGAACCATGAGCCAATTAAACCTCCTCTTTATAAATTACCCAGTCTCAAAAGAAATGATTAAAAAAAAAATTACCCAGTCTCACGTATTTCTTTCTTTTTATTTTTTTTCTTTAGGTGGAGTTTTACCCTGTCACCCAGGCTAGAGTGCAGTGGCGTGATCTCAGCTCACTGCAACGCCCACCTCCCGGATTCAAGCGATTCTCATGCCTCAGCCTCATGAGTAGCTAGGATTACAGGCACGTGCCACCACGCCCAGCTAGTTTTTGCATTTTTAGTAGAGACAGGGTCTTACCATGTTGGCCAAGCTGGTCTCGAACTCCTGGCCTCAAGTGATCTGGCTGCCTCAGCCTCCCAAAGTGCTGAGATTACAGGTGTGAGCCACAGCACCCAACCTATTAAAACTTCTGATGAAAAATTTTACATCACTTAAAAAATATATAAGCAAGCACCAAATTTTAGAGGGATTAAAGGCAAAAACTTTGAAGACCACTGTGGTAGACACTGTGGTTGATCAGAGCAATGTTGAGAAAATATACTCGATCTCCCAGAACTATAGGGCATGTCCCCAGTTAAGGCCATTCATTTAGGACTTAGACCTAAGGAATTTATGATATCCAATAACTTCTGAAATTTTGCTTTAAAAAATGTTAGCATTTTGAGAAATTTTTATTCAAATAGTAGAACGAGCTATCATTTAAGGGAATGAGCAGTCTATCCCCAGATTTCTCAACTCTGCTAAATGAGGCTGACTTGGAGGATTCCGTATAAGGTAATTTTCTACTTTAAAACCCTGTGAATCAGACCAGATCAGTGGCTCACACCTGTAATCCCAATGCTTTGGGAGGCCAAGCAAGAGGGTTCCTTGAGGCTAGGAGTTAAGGCTGCAGTGAGTTGTGATCACGTCATTGCCCTTCAGCCTGGACAACAGAGCAAGACCTTGTCTCTAAAGAAATAAAAATAAGTAAAATCTCTATGAGTCAATATAGAAATAATCTAAAGCAGATGTTTCGATAAAGTGAATACTTTTCACTTGATAAAATAACTGCACATGCAGATGTAGTAATTTATAGTATTGTGTCAATATCTGGAGCTGCCTTCAATGTAATAATTATCATGCAAATTAAAATATAGAAAATTAAAAATTGTGTATACATATGTCTAAATGGTAGGTTCAGCTTTGGCAAGAACAGCATTTGGATTTTGGAGTAGTAGGGGACAGTACATACCACCCTCAGAAATTTGCAATATGAACTCACGAAATTTAGTCATTACAGAACTTAGAGTTGAAGGAAATAGGTTTGAATCGTATCTACACTTCCTAATTTCAAAGCTCACTCTCTTCTACTGCCAGGCACTGGGACCTTGAAAAGACAAGTACACTTTGCCTCCCTTGCTAGTTCATTATAAACAATCTATCAACAAAAACTATCCTGTTCAGCCAGTTTCTCGGAGCAACCGTGGGAGTCAGAGCAGGTAAAGTGGACTTCTTAATTTGCAAACTTTTAAGGGTTGTATTATTTATTACTTGTTTTTTTCTTAGGGGAGGTCTTGGGTAGAAATTACCTAGATATAGAATGAAAAATGTTTATCTGGAAAATGTGTACAATGAAGAGAATAGAAACCAGCAAATGAAGTATCAACTGGTATGTACTATAATACTTTCCATAATGCAAGTAAGCTGTTGGTAAATATACTATGATTTTCCTTTCAGAAATTTTACCGGTTACTAAGTGTTAACACCAAAGTAACAACCCTAGGGAAGATGACAAGCATAGGAGTGAGGTTTTGGTGTTTTGTCCCTTCCTGTTTCTTACTGTCTATTGACTTACCCATGTCTTTGAGTGACTGTCCTTCAGAGATAGGGTCTGACTATGCTGCCCAGGCTGGTCTCAAACTCCTGAGCTCAAGTGATCCTCCTGCCTTGGCCTCCCAAAATGCTGGGATTACAGGCATGAGCCACCACACCCAGCCATTTTAAATATTTTGTTGAAAAACTCTTGGTGTTTATCTTTCCCTTGCAAATATTCTTTACTAGTTCTTTTTCTGGCATCTTCTAAAATTCTGTTTTTAAGATTTCTTTTTCAGATGTCCAATGATTTTAGGGAAATGAATGAAGCAATTGAGTTGCATCAGACACAATTCATTCCCAATGACCTGAGGAAAGGACACAGTATTTAGACTTTATTTCCTGGTCAATAAGGGATCTCTGTGAGAACTTGTACTTCACATAGATGTCTGTCCCACATCAAAAGTTGCATATTTCCACAGCTCTTCTGTCACCATGAAGAGGACCTTCTCAGATGCCATCCTTATTCTAGCTATCTCCATGTGGATGGCCTTTGCAATTGGTGAGTTCTGTGTCCTTGCTCTGCCCACATTTTCTGCAGTAAATCTAGAATCATGGGAAAATTAGAGATGGAAGTGGAAGTGCTCTTCAGTTTTATTTAATCCTAATTTCTCATGTTACAGATATAGAAATTAAAACCCAGAGAAAGGATTCACACAATGTTACTAGTATCAAAGCTGGAAGTCTAATCCAAACCATCTAAGTCCAGGACCATTGAACTTTCCAAAATGCCAAGTTACTACCCAAGATATTTAAGCCTCAGAAATGTACATTTTGAGAGTTTGCATATTTATATATCTCAAATCAAAAAAAAGAACCTCATCAGGCTATGTGGAAGTAGACTCAGATATTATTCCAGTTAATGGCTGGCTTTAGCAGAAGTCATGCTAGAGTTAAATGCAGGAAATCTCTGGAGGTCTCAACAAGTTATTTTTCTGTTTGGATTCTGCAACTCTTTCATACTTGTCTTCAGTCTCTTACTTTCCATTGGTACTGTGTCTCACTTAAAACATTTTTTTCAAGCCTCTCACGTCTTAGGAGAGTTCTATAACAAGTTGAAAACTACTTTTCATGACTCTCATATCTTACATGCAAAAGCAAATAAGCCTGGTCTCTCTCCTTTCCTTCCCTCTCCAATTTAATAATTTGTTGACAAATCTAGGTATACTTCTACACTTCCTCACCTTTCATTCAGTCCTCACCCCCACTGCTACATCACCGATGAGCATCAGCCTCCCTGCAAGCCCAGTGTGTTCCCTTCTGGCTGAGTCTCATCCTCTGTCTGGAACACACCATAACTCAACCAAGGTGGACCACTCCATCTTTCCTCTTTTTGTTGAGATGGAGTTTCAATCTTATTGACCAAGCTAGAGTGCAATGGAGTGATCTCGGCTCACTGCAACCTCTGCCTTCTGGGTTCACGCGGTTCTCCTGCCTCAGCCTCCCGAGTAGCTGGGGTTACAGGTGCACTCCACCATGCCTGACTAATTTTTTGTATTTTTAGTAGAGATGGGGTTTCACCATGTTTGTCAGGCTGGTCTCGAACTCCTGACCTAAGGTGATCCACCCACCTCGGCCTCCCAAAGTGCTTGGATTACAGGTGTGAGCCACCGTGCCCAGCCCACTCTGTCTTTCTTGCAAATCACCCTTTCCTTATTCTTAAAGTTGTATGGCCTTATATTTTTTCCTCAAACCTATTTCTCCCCTGTATGCTCATATCCAGTGACTAAGTTCAGTTGATAGAACACTTCATAGATCATATAAATTCATGCCTTTTCCACATTTCCACAACAATGACTTCCTCAGTGAAGATTCTCATCATTTCATGAAAATATTTTCATATTCTCCTTAACCGTTCTTTGCCTCTAACTTGACTTACTCTAACACGTGTACCACTGGTACAATAGTTGTCATTTTATCTTAGTGCAAATCTTATCTTAGTTCTACTGTAATAAACACAAAAGCTTTTGTGATGTGGCCCTTACTACTATGCTGGGTTTCCCAGCACCCCTTTCTTTTTTTATTTTATTATTATTTTTTTGAGACAGTCTTGCCCTGTTGCCAGGCTGGAGCGCAGTGGCGAGATCTTGGCTCACTGCACTCTGCCTCCCAGGTTCAAGCAATTCTCCTGCCTCAGCCTCCTGAGCAGCTGAGACTACAGGTATGTGCCACCATTCCCAGCTAATTTTTGTGTTTTAGTAGAGATGGTGTTTCACCATATTGGCCAGAATGATCTCAATCTCTCCACCTCATGATCCGCCCGCCTCAGCCTCCTAAAAGTGCTGGGATTACAGGCGTGAGCCACTGCACCTGGCCACCCAGCGCACATTTATTTACATATCCAATAAATATATACTATATGTTGACCTTATGCCAGTAACTGGGCTAGACACTGGTTATGTGGCAGGAATGGTCCCTAGACACATCAGTGGTGGAAAATACATAGATATCACGGTCCATATCAAATATTAACACACTATTTTTCTTTGATGCAGTCTTGCTGTGTTATCTAGACTGAAGTGCAGTGGTATGATCTCAGCTCACTGCAACCTCTGCCTCCTGGGTTCAAGTGAGTCCCCCACCTCAGCCTCCAAAGTAGCTGGAAATATAGGCATGTGCCAACATGCCTGGCTAATTTTTAATAGAAACAGTGTTTGACCATGTTGGCCAGGCTGGTCTTGAAGACCTGATCTCAAGTGATCCATCCGCCTTGGCTTCCTAAAGTGCTAAGATTACAGGCACGAGCCACCTTGCCTGGCCACACTTTTTTTTTCTTGAGATGGAGTTTCACTGAGCCACCAAGGCTGGAGTGCAGTGGCAAGATCTCCGCTCACTGCACCCACCATCTCCCGAGTTCAAGTGATTCTCCCATCTCAGCCTCCCAAGTAGCTGGGATTACAGGCACCAGCCATCATGCCCAGGTGATTTTTGTGTTTTCGTAGAGACAGGGTTTCACCATGTTGCCCAGGCTGGTCTTGAACTAATGACCTCAGGTGATCTGCCAGCCTTGTCCTCCCAAAGTGCTAGGATGCTAGGATTACAGGCATAAGCCATTGCACCAACCCTGGCCACACATTTTTATAAGTGTTTCAAAAGGTAGGAACAATGAGAATGTATAGAACTTAAGCCACTGCCTATCTTTCCCCTCCCCTTCCCAGTGCAGTGTGATGGAAGATCTACTCTGGACAGATATGGCCAAGATGAGTTTTCTTCTCTCCCTAGCTTACAGGGGACAATGGTATATTTCCCTGGGAAGGACAGTTCATCGACATTTTTCATTCCCCCATAACTCTGTGTTGCTGTGGCTAAATTCCAGGAAAGCGAGTCCAAGAGACAGAGTCCTCTCTTTTCTCACCCATCTCCTACCTGTGAAACTGAGGCTCTATCTCAGGTGACTGAGGCAGACAGAGAGTAATGGCGCCCTGATTGTCCTCACCCTAGTTTAATGTATTAGTCTGTTTTCACACTGCTATAAAGATACTACCTGAGATTGAGTTAATTTATAAACAAAGAGGTTTAATTGACTCAGTTTAGCATGGCTGGGGAAGCCTCAGGAAACTTACAATCGTGCTGGAAGGTGAAGGGGAAGCAAGGCACATCTTACCGTGGTGAAGCAGAAGAGAGAGAGAGTGAGAGAGCAAGGAAGTGCCACACTTTAAAACAGCTCAAGTGAGGACTCACTCACTATTACAAGAACAGCATGGGGGAAACCACCTCCATGATCCAATCACCTCCCACAAGGCCCTTCCCTTGACAGGTGGGAATTACAATTTGAGATGAGATTTGGTTGGGGACACAAACCATATCACTTAGCTTGTAGATGGTAGGTTCCATGCTGGAAGAAACAAGCTGAGACATATTCAAAGTACTAAAAGAAA